GAAGATCCGACAGTAGCTTGGAATCTCTTAAGCTGACCAAGCCCTCTCAGTCTAACTATCCGGCAGACGACTAGTCTTCACCGAGATAGAAAGCCAAAGCAATAAGCACAGAACTCCACTACTGGAATTGGACTCCAGTACAAAGCAGTAAATTGGCTAACTCTCGTATAGCCAATCTCCTACTACCGAATGATGAGACTCTAGCAACCTAATCAGATTCTATCTATCTCAGATTGCAACAGGAATCAGGAAAAGTTGATCAGACTTCAATTGACTCAATAAACATGCATCATTCGATTATAATCAAACAATAAAGCATCCAAAACTTCATACTAGAAAGATCCTAACTCATGGAACTAGGGTTCCACAAAACCTAAGTGAAGGGAAGTTACTCCATAGAGAAGAGAGAGACTGCAGAAATCTGATCTAGATCTTCAATCTCCATCTCCAAGCTTGATTTCCGAGCTCCAATGGCGAAGAAATCCTCCAAAATAGCTCCAAGAATGTTCCCAAGTCGCTCTCTCTCTAGGATTCGTCCCTTGGGTGTTTGGGATCCAAAACCCAGCTCTCCCTCTCCTTTGGCTCGAAATTTGGCTTAAAACCAGAGATTCCCGACTCACACGGGCAGGCCCACACGGCCGTGTGGCATACCCAGTTGCCCGTGTGAGTCGAAACGCTGCGTTCCAATTAGTTCGATCTTCAGGCTTCTCACACGGCCAGGGTCGCACGGCCGTGTGGGATTTCCATCTGCCCGTGTTTGCTCTCGGCGAAACTCGCACGGCCAAATCACTCCTTCACACGGCCGTGTGAAAATCAGGGCTAGCCGTGTTTGCTCTCGCACAATCTCACACGGCCACAAATATGAGTTGCACGGCCGTGTGAATTGTGGGTGTGCCCGTGTGGCCTCCTTTGCGACTTGCCTCGCTCCAAACTCGCTCCCAAGCCTCCATTCACGTACTAGGACCTGAAATATCACAAACAAGCACAACCTAGCGTGAAATCGGCCTAAAACACGAGAAATCACATCTCAAACGGTGTAAGAACAGCGGTAAAAACATGTGTAATTAACGGTCTATCAAAAGTTATTTATCTTAATGAGTAATACACAATAATAAGTAAATTCAAATAAGTATGCTTGTTTTAGAGTAACCAACACCACAACCTAGAGATGACAATAGAGCGGGTTTGTCTAAACCAAACTCATCCCCATTTCCAAATATTCAAACTCATACCCGTCTCATACCCATGCAGTGAAAGGTCTTACAAACTCATCCCCATACCCGTGGTTTTCTGATACTCATGGGTAATACCGCCCCAACAACTACTCACCATTAATAATAGAATATGGTGACAAATACGGATACTACCCACCCAAAATTATGGAACTAATACATAAGAGGATGAAATTAAGGGTTGGTTGCCATCAATTACATTTTAACTTTTTATTTTTTCTTTTAATTACTCTTCATTCGATTGACAAGTTACCATACACTCCTTATATTTTATGTATATACATAATATCCTTGGTAGGGCGGGTTTGGGTATGGGTATAGGGCTGGAGGGTTAAAAACCATACTCGCCCCATACCCATCAGCCTTTTTGGGGGGTTTTATCCATACTCGCCCCATACCCAATCAATGCATGGATTCCCGTATTGACTGGGTTGGAGGAGGTCGGGTACCCGCGACCATGGGTTTGGTTGTCATCCCTACCACAACCCAATAATGGGAAAAATAAACATAACCCCATCCTTTGAAACTCACCGTTTCCACCCCTTGACCCTTCCTTTATTGAAAATAAAAAACTCACCCTTACCCCGTTTTAGTTTCTAATTACCGAGAGCCACTACCACATCTCCCTTTTCTTTTACCCTTTAGTTTTACTTGCTTTTGGAAGTTGGTGTTGACTTTACCTTTTGCAATTGAAAGTTGCGAAAGATTTCAGCTATGAAGATAATCAAGAATGAACTTCGAAATCGGTTGAGTGACGAATTTAATGAATCATTGTTTAGTTGTGTATATCGAAAAGGATTTGCTTCGCAACATAAGCAATGAATGTATTTACAGACATTTCTAGTAAACATGACATTGTGAACTTTATGAATTAATTTCTAGTAATTTCTATTTAATTTTTATTAATTTTTTAATTATTACATTATTTTATCGGCGACACACCTCTCCGGCAATTCTGGGTCCGCCACTGGTTAAGCCGGTGGCTTGATATCATCGTGTATTTCATCAAACCCAGCAGCCAGCACTGGTCTACTTAAGCCTGCCGCACAATAAACGTTCGATAAAAATAAAAAAGAGAAAGGTAAAAGAATATTATAGCAGCAAAGATGTACGTACGCAGAAAAGACAAAGTAGACCGATTTGATACGAGTATATTTTCAAGATCATGTGGAAATCTGTAGCAATGACATAGGGAGCGGTAGTTTAACATTATCGCAGACGAGTAGCTAGCTAGATGCAGTGAATGAGGATGGAGAAGTGAGCTACGGGCGCCCTTTGCAAATATTCCTTGGAACTGTAACCTCGGGCGATCGAGGCAGTAGCTAGCCAACCATATATGCATGCATGCCAACTAGCTAAAGTGGTAAACTAATACCGCAAAATCGATCGCAAGGATCCGGACACCGGCCCAGTTCGATCCTCACCTACCGACTAAACTATTAACGTTAGAATATCTCTATGCATGCGATAATCGTAGCTCTCTTGATAGCCTCGAACATAATTGACACTGGTAAACAGTACTAATGGTTGCTTAATTTTGTCAACTCGTTTTTATGTGGGGTCGCAGTAGTATTCATCTGGGTATATATATATATATATGCTACAATAAACAGAAAATTATGGGTAACTGACATTAATGTAACATTGATGTTTCTCGGGAGCTCTGTACAAGATTGCTTCAAAAGCGAACGGTTGTGCTCAAATCGGATCGGATATGGTCCTCCCGTTGGAAAGAACGTCCTCTCAACGCAGAATATGATATTTGTGTAATGATAATATATATAGTATACAATTTACAGAAATACATATTCGTCAAACAAGAAAAATGTATTCTTATAATAGATAGTAGTAAGGATGGCAATTTCGACCTGACCCGATTTACCCGACATGTTTGACCTGTTTTGGGGTGGGGTGGGAATGGGTACCTCTCATCAACCTGACCTGCCCCATTCTCGACTCTTTCTGGTCTAAGTTACATGTAATCTTAATCAATTTACTTAGGATTTTCCTCTTATTACATCGTATTTTAGGTATAATAAAGGTGTAAATAAGTGAAAAACTCAATCTCAATAATTTAGCTACATTTTATCAAATTATGGTTTCTTTTTTGGTCTTTTAATTAACTATATTTCACAATTCTAAGTATTTCTGCACGTTATTTTTCTTCTTTTAAATACATTGAAACTCTAGCTATCTGTCTGTGATTCCAAATCGGAGAAGTCTTCGGCGGTTGTTGATCAATCAAGTTGGCAACATATAAAATTTGGGGATTCCACCTTGGATGAAGTGTCAGCACAGAGAGACTCACGTTCTTCGATAATTGCAAACTATGTCCTGTTTCTGAAACGAGCTAGCTTAATTGTAACTGCAGCAATTATATCTATCTATCATCTCTTCTTTGTGTCAGAGTTGAGTTAAAAGAATAAAGTAGGGTACGGTCGGTGCCGTTCAGTCCAAAAATGGATCCTGCTGGATGGGTCGGACGAAGCTTCGTTCGTTGTTATTAATGCGTTCTCGTGCCGTGGTACGGTACATCGTGTGGAATGCGGTCGTTGTGCCTAAGTACAGGCCAACACTGAATTTGGATGCATGTCAATTGACGTGTGAGTTAATCGAGTAATACCCAAATAACAGTAAATTAAGGTGGAATTGGTTCAAAGTGGATAATACCATACTAATTGAGACACTTGGTTTCAGCAAGTAGTGGTGTAAGAGTTTGGATTGAGGCAGTGGACCCACATTCGGTGAACTTGAGATTTTAGATTCGCATCTATTTGGCGGATAAAGGGAGATCTGCTTCTGTTTGGCATCTCAGTGAAGATATGCATCTGGTAAATTCTTCTGTAGAGCAAAGTCTGTCATAAAAACTATTTGGGGGATAAGATAATTGCTGAGGAGAGAACACGAAGTTCGTGGTACTTGTCTTGAGGGGAGGATTGTTATGGTCCAATCCAAATAACACATCGAAAATACAAGGAAAGACATCCTTGTATATTAGTATCCACCTAGCCCATTTAATACGAGTATAGGAGGATACCCAAAGATAAATCTGTGCGGGTTTCGCTCAACACGGACAATATCGTAATGATTGACCAACCCAATCTTGACAAACATATTTGCTTATGTATGGTGGAGGACAAATGGGCAGTTGGTTTTCTGATATATGGAGTTTTCGAATTTGAATTCCAGGTACGTTAATTATTCACATTTTAGGTCATTCTATGACAAATATTTGACCAAGAAAAGTAATCTACTATCAAAATGAATGCATGTAGTGATATTTAGTTTCTCTAGAATCTAAAAAAAAAAAAAAGAGTTTTAGTGACAATACATGTACTCATATCAGCTTCAAAACTTGTTGCATATGAAGAGGGTAATATAGTAAGGATTATGTTGATTGCATTAAGCATGCATTCTCGAGGCCACAATTCTTACCATTCCATAACATGGAACATTTCAAAATGTGACGTGCGGAATTTTGTGAGGGTGTTGAGTTTTGAACGTCGAAGAAGTATGAGAAATGTTGTTATTATACAAACTCGGGGTTAATTGCATGGTTGGTCACTGAAATTACACAAAACGTTCAAGTTTGGTCACTCAAAATATTTAAATCCATTGGTGGTACTTCAGTTTACTGAAACGGTTCACGTTTGGTCACTCTCCGTCCAACTCCGTTAACTTTTGCTGATGTGACAGTCAACTCTCAAAGTTGACGGTTAACTTAGTGACGTGGCAACTAAAAAATTATTAAAAATAAAAAAATTAACCTTAAAATTTTTCACCTTATTATTATATTTTCGTCCTCGTCCAACAGCCAGAACGCATCGATCGCCTCCTCTTTAAACGACGACACCCGACAACGCATGGGACTAATCGGCACCGCCGGCGGCGATAGGGCCACGAATGTCGACCTCGCTACCTTCACCCTCCGCCGCCGGATCTTCGCCGCAGCCTCGGATGCCGAGATCGTGTCGCGGTACCTGTACGTGAAATCGTAGCACCACTTGCAGTACTTCTCCAGAGTCCTCTTCGCCGATTCCAGATCCAGGGTATTCGATCTCAATTGAGTCTTCAATTTCCCCAATTTCTCGTCCTTCTCGTTCAATTGCTTCTTGTAATCGACAATCGCCTCGCTCTTTTCGCCGCTGTGATGGGGGAACCCGTGGCGGGTGTCCCACAGATTGCCGACTGTGGACGGCGGAGGGGGGGTTAACGGCGCCGTATTGAGACCAGTTGAAGGTGTCGTTTAGTCTCAAGAACTGTACCCCAAACGCCGGATCGACAAACTCGCCGTCGCCGGCGGAGACGTCTATGAAGCAATTGCCAAGTGGGTTGACGTAGAAATGGGACTGCGAAAGGACCTCTGCCAGATTGCGCAGGTCCCGCCCCGTGATCTCCTCTTCGAACAACTTCAGGGCGTCGTATTGATTCTCCTGCTGGTGGTGACTAGTGGCTGCGACGGTCGCAACGATTTTCCAGTCGGTGGTTCTGACAGCTGAAGACGGGGAAGTTGTTGACAGAGTCAGCTCGTAGACGTCGATCGTGGTAGATTCCGATGAAGCGACGAAATGGGTAGTGGAATTGAACTCGAAAGGCGCCATGATCATCTCTATCCGGTTTTTAGTTTTGTTTGCTTACCAGATACCAATTCTGGGGACAGGTCACGGTGATTACTACAAAAGTAGTAATCACTGTGGTTACTAAGGGTAAATTGGGTATGGAAAAATAAATTATATTAATTAATTTTTTAATAAATTACATTTAAGGTAGTTACAAAAATCTATTAATTAAAAATCTCTCTTTCTCTCACTTCCGTAATCTCCAGCCAGATTTCCTTTCCATATTTTTCTCAATCTTTCTGCAAAAAAAAAAAAAAAAAAAAAACGAAATCAGTACCAATCCATTAGAAAAACACTACCACTTTGAAAAATATCAATACCATTGCAGAAATAAATCTATACCATTACACGAAAACTACCATTGCAGAAATAAATTTATACCATTACACGAAAACTACCATTCAAGAAATAAAAACACTACCATTTCACAAAACATCAATACCATTCAAGAAATAAAAACACTACCATTTCACAAAACATCAATACCATTGCAGATTTAATCACTACCAATGCGACAAAATCAATACCAATGCGACAAAAATAATACCAATGCGACAAAAACAATACCAATACAACAATAACACTACCACTACGAAAAAATTGACTACCATTTAAAAAAAATCACTACTAAAAAAAATGACTACCATTTAAAAAAAAAAACATACCATTCCAATGGAATTCCTTCCTCCTTCCAATTGCCATTAAAAAGCAAATATAGTCCAGCGGCGGAAACTAGCAGAAACTCTGTACTATACTGTAATTCTTCTGGGAAAGTTTCCCAGCGGCGGCGAGATTGGAGCTCCGGCTGAAGCTAGGCTAGAGCTGTGCAACGAACGGTCTGTGATTGAGCTGCAGTTCGAACAATGACGGCGGCGGAGAGGCCCCGGAGGTTCAGGGGTCAGGTGGTGATTCCGGGGAGTATTATGGGCTTATGGGCTTAAGCCGTGATTTCTAGGTGGGCCACAAGCAAAGAAAAATCGCGGCCAGCAAGAAGAATAAGAGCCGAGAGCCGGAATAAGAGAGCTCCGTTGTGTCTCGTCACCGTCGCCGGACACCGCTGCTTTACAAGAGAGGAGGGGAAGGGAGGAGGGTGGTGGAGGGGAGGTCGGCCGGCGGTGGAGGAAGTTCTCGGGAGGGATGAGGGTCGCGGGAGGTTACGGAGAGGGACAGGTTACGGTTGGCGGCGGGTTGCAATAGGGTAGGGTTTGGATCTAATTTATAGAGTAATCAGGTGTGGTATATTTTTCAATTCCAAAATTACCCTAATATAATCTTCATCGTTAATTTAAAATTAGGGTGAAAAAGAAATAATGAATGGTGTAGATTAAGGTAGCCACCGTGATTACTAAAAATTAAGTAACCAAGCTAACTCATCCCACCAATTCTGTCATTTATATCTCTGGGTTCTAGTATAGACTACTAGGAGATTTGGATTGAAATTAGTTTTTTTTTAAATGAATGTAATAATGAAATGGAAAATATAAAAGTTATTTTTTTATTTTTAATAATTTTTTTGTTGCCACGTCACTAAGTTAACGGTCAACTTTGAGAGTTGACTGCCACATCAGCAATAGTTAATGGAGTTGGACGGAGAGTGACCAAACGTGAACCGTTTCAGTTACTAATGTACCATCAATAGATTTAAATATTTTGAGTGACCAAATTTGAACATTTTTTGTAATCTCAGTAACCAACCATGCAACTAACCCTACAAACTCGACTAACTCCCAAAAACCTAATAATTTAGTAGGCTGACAAAGGAAACGGAGAAGTGTGATTCTAGATTAGTATATCGTTATGGCAAGGAGATTTTTAGCCGCTGAAAAAACTTCAGTGTGTTATAATATTAACAGCTCAAGCCCTAGCTATATATATGTTATATGTTTATTCTCCGTGTAATAATTATACGCGCAAACTTGGAATATTACTTCCTGCAGAGTGCAGAGAGCCAGCTAGGTTATCTTTGTCTTCAACAAATTATTCGAAAATTTGGAAACGATATAAAATTTATGTGGTTCTGAAAGAAAAATGGGTACAATGTGGTGCTCAAATGCAATAAAATATTTTTATATAAATGCATTAAATATTTTATTGAGAAAATAAAAGTGAAAGATGCTGGTTGACCAAAATGTCCAGTTGAGTGATCTACGACGGTCACCGGCAAGTACTCGGAGGTAGTACTAATAGCTTAACCAAATTCAGGTGTCGGATTTACGTCAAATATGTGAATCATCCATATACTATCCATCTTATTGACACGAAAAAGTTTAAATTGTATCAGAGAAAAACCCTCGTTTTTCTTCGCCTGAGATGGAACCAGAGTCAGCGGAGGAGGAGGCAGAGGTCCAACATTCAAACCCATCGACCGTTGGAAGTGAGACGGCGCCGTATCCACTAAAGCCAACCCAAACAGCAACCGAGACGACGACGCATCGCACCTGGAGTGAAGTGGTCTCTGGCAAATTACCAAAAAAAGTCCATAACTAGTTAACTTGTTCATTTTCCTATTTCGGATTGTACTTTCTTCTGTCCCAAGCTTGTCTTCTTTCCTTGAACTGTAAACCCAAACTCAACAGGATATAAGCTGATTGAAGAAGTGAAAATAAATACAAGCCAAAATTCGAAAAGCAAAACAAAGTGTTATGGTATCAGAGCCTCGAGGGTTCTAACCCTAGCCGCCACCCATGGAAGCAAACCCAGATCCCATGGCAAATCCCTACTATCTCCATGGTTCTGAACAACCAGGATCCCAGCTTGTAGGAGAGAAACTAACAACACTCAACTACAATGACTGGCACAAAGCAATGTTCAATGCATTGGGAGCGAAGAACAAGCTTGGCTTCATTGATGGCAGCATTCCAGATCCAGGAGAAGACAGTGAGCATTCTGTGTCCTGGAAACGCAACAACATCATGGTACTGGCATGGATTCAGTAACCTGTGGACCCTGCAATCCGCAAGACTATCATGTCCTGCAAGTCAGCTCTGGAAGCATGGAGGAGCTTACGCGAAAGATATGGCCAAGGTGACCTCATCCGCACTGCTGAACTCACTGAATCCCTCTGCACCTTGAAACAAGGTACCCTTTCAGTCACTGACTACTATGGCAACCTCATTTCCCTTAAGGATGAGCTCGATAATTACCAACCCCTTGAACTATGTGACTGCTCAACCACAAGTTCTACCACTTGCAAAGCAATGAAGCTGGTTTTCCTCTATCGAGACACTAATTACATCATTCAGTTCCTGAGAGGTCTTAATGACAACTTTTCAAGTGTTCGCTCCCAGGTTATGTTTGGAGACACTCTCCCCCCCCCCCCTATTGACAGGGTCTTTAAGAGAATTCTCCAACATGAACGCCAACTCAATGGTCAACCTCGGGCCAAAGGCCTTGCAACTTAAAGCATGGCTCTTTCTGCTCAAAACTCCAACCAATTCCAGACCAGAAAGCCAAGGCCATTTTGCACTCACTGCAAACTTGAAGGCCATACAGAGGACACATGCTACCACAAGCATGGTTGGCCCCCTGGTGTCAACACCAGGAACTCTAACATCCAAAGGAAAGTATATGAATGCACCTTTTACAAAAGACAAGGCCACTCAGAAGAACGTTGTTTCTTCAAACATGGATTCCCTCCCAAGACTACCACAGGTGCTGGCAGAGGAAGAGGTTATGTCAATGCCTCTTCCAGTAACCTCCATGATGATTAAAATGAGGAGATCAAGCTCACCAAGGAAGATTTCGACAAGCTAATGTCTTTAGTCAAAGACAAAGGACCACAAAAGACTCCATCTTTTACAGCTGCACCATTCAGTAACAATTCAGGTAAATTCAGCTTAATTGTTGACTCTAATCTTTCCCCACCTCAACAATGGATAATAGATACATGAGCTTCAGACCATGTTGCATGCTCTCTGCAACTGCTAACCAACTGCAGAAGACTCCACAACATATACATAGCCTTACCTACAGGAGAGCAGGTTGAAGCAACCCACACAGACACAGTCACCTGTGTTCCTGGTCTTATCCTAGAGGAAGCTCTCTTTGTTCCAAAATTCAGTTTCAACCTCATCTCAGTCAGCAAATTGACTACCAATACTTCCCTATGCTTGACCTTCTTCTCAAATGTTTGCCATATACAGGATATGCAGCTCAAGAAGATGACTGGTTCTGCTAAGCTAACCCAAGGCCTTTACCTCATAGATCCAAACCAAACAGACAACATACCCAAACACATCACAGCCACAAGCTACCATACTTTTGATCTTTGGCACTATAGACTTGGTCATGTTTCTCATTCCAAAATCCCTTCTTTGAGAGAAATATGTACTTCTATTAACACAGACAAGTCATTACCTTGTGATGTCTGTCATTTTGCAAGGCAGAAAAGACTGCTTTTTCCTTTGAGCAACACTGTATGCTCCAAACCTTTTCAGCTTATACACATTGATCTATGGGGCCCAATTTTGTTCTTAGCTATGATGGTTTCAAATATTTCTTAACCATTGTTGATGATTTCACTAGAATGACTTGGATCATTCTCTTACCCTCCAAATAAGAAGCTAGGTCCAAACTAAAGGAATTTTGTGTTTATGTTCAAACTCAGTTTCAAACCTCAATCCAAAGGATTCGTAGTGACCAAGGAAAAGAATTTCAAATGAATGACTTCTTTAACAACACAGGAATCCTTCATGAACTCTCCTGTGTTGAAACACCACAACAAAACAGCAAAGTAGAAAGAAAACACCAACATATCCTTGCTGTTGCTCGAGCTTTAAAATTTCAAGTCAACTTACCTTCTGGTTTTTGAGGTGACTGTGTTAAACATGCTGTTCACTTGATCAATCGTGTACCCTCCACTGTCCTACACAACAAAACACCATTTGAACTTCTTTTCAACCATAAACCTGATCTTACTGCCCTTATAGTCATTGGCTGCCTTTGCTTTGCCACTACTCTAAAAAATCACAGAACCAAGTTTGACTCTCGGGCAAGAAAAGGAGTTTTCATTGGTTATACTGCAGGTATCAAGGGTTACAAGATCTATGATCTTGCTACCAATGATGTTTTCACTTCTAGGGATGCTCAGTTCTATGAACATCATTTCCCCTTCCAAGAACAATCCACTTCCCCCAACCCAGCTTATCCCAAACCCTCACTACCTACCATGTTTGATGATTCATCTCCTGCATACTATCCCCCACCACCCCATGAACCTCCCTCAATTAACCCAACAGACCTTCCCTCAGACAGTGATGATGATGATCATACTGCCTTCATCCATTCACCATCCTACTCTTCAACCCTACCTTCCCCCCCCCCCCCCCCACCACCACCACCACCACAACAACAACCAATCCAACCAACTAGAAAATCTACCAGAACCTCCAAACCTCCCCCTCACCTACAAAACTACCATTGCAACCTGCTTCAGCAGCTTCCTTCAACCAGTCATCTTCCACAGCAGCACATCCAATGTACAAAACATTCTCTCTCCACTGTTCTTAACTACTCCAATCTTTCCTCTAATCACAAACAATTTTTCTTATCAATCTCATCCCACAAAGAACTTGATACATACAAAGAGGCAATCCAATTCCCTGAATGGGATGATGCAGTCACTATAGAACTTTCTGCTCTTGATGCTAATGAGATATGGGAGATAGTTGAACTACCAGCAGGCAAGAAAGCAATTGGATGAAAATGGGTCTTCCTGATCAAATTCAATCGTGATGGATCCATTGACGGGTTTAAAGCAAGACTGGTAGCCAAAGGCTACAACCAACAGGAAGGAGTCGATTACCAAGACACCTTTGCCCCAGTTGTCAAAATGACAACCATCAGGCTATTCTTAGCCATTGCTGCTGCTCAAAATTGACATGTTCATCACTTAGATGTGAACAATGCCTTTTTACACGGAGATCTTGACCAAGAAGTTTACATGAAACTCCCACCAGGATACAAGCCCCCTGCAGGTTTCAAATCACCAGTTTGCCTCTTGAAGAAGTCACTCTATGGTTTAAAACAGGCATCAAGGCAGTGGTTCTCTAAACTAGCAGACAAACTCAGGTCCCAAGTCTACCAATCAAGCAAAGTGGATCATTCATTATTCTACAAGACCACTAATTCTTCCTACACATGCATACTGGTGTATGTTGATGACTTGGTTATTGGGGGAACTAATTTACAAGAGATCACCAGTCTAAAATAGTTCCTTCACAATGCCTTCAGCATCAAAGATTTGGTACCCCTCAAATTCTTTCTGGGAATCGAGGTAGCCAGGTCAAAACAAGGAATTCACATTTCTCAAAGAAAATACACTTCGGAGATTTTGGAAGAAGCACATTTATCGAATTGCAAACCAGTAACTACACCAATGGACTACAAAAGTCACCTATCTTCTCAACATTCTGATCCTTTCCCAGATCCCACTCTATACATAAGACTTGTGGGCAAGCTCATATACCTACCCACTACAAGACCAGAAATTAGCTATGCATCACAACAGGTGAGCCAATTCATGTCTAATCCAAGCCAAGATCACTACAAAGCAATTCTCAGAATCCTAAAATACTTCAAATCAGCTCCCTCCAGTGGACTTTTCTTCTCAGCTACCTCTTCACTTCAGCTCATGGCATTTAGTGACTCTGACTAGGCGGCTTGCATAGATACTCGCAGATCAACAACAGGTTACTGTGTCTACTTGGGTGATTCCCTAATCTCAAGGAAGATCAAGAAGCAAACTACAACATATCTCCCTTCATGTGAAGCTGAATACAAGGCCCTCGCTCACACCAGCTGCGAAATCCAGTGGATCCTCTATCTCCTCCAAGATCTGCAAATTGCTCATCCTCAACCAGCAATTCTTTATTGCGACAATCAGTCTGCGATTTACATCGCCAAAACCCTACCTTCCATGAAAGGACGAAACACATTGAGCTTGACTGCCATTTTGTGCACGACAAAATCATCTCCAACATCATCAAAGTGCTTCACATCTCCACTGTGCATCAGCTGGCTGATCTCTTCACCAAACCTCTTCCTCCGGCGACCTTCAACCACCTTCTCTCCAAGCTTGGTGTGCTAATCTCTGCCCACCAGCTTGCGCGGTGGGTGGGGAGGGGGGGGGGGGGGGGGGGGGGGGGGGGGGGGGGTATCAGAGAAAAACCCTCGTTTTTCTTCGCCTGAGATGGAACCAGAGTCAGCGGAGGAGGAGGCGGAGCTCCAACATTAAAACCCATCGACCGTTGGAAGTGAGACAGCGCTGTATCCACTAAAGTCAACCCAAACAGCAACCGAGACGACGACGCATCGCACCTGGAGTGAAGTGGTCTCTGGCAAATTACCAAACAAGTCCATAACTAGTTAACTTGCTCATTTTCCTATTTCGGATTGTACTTTCTTCTGTCTCAAGCTTGTCTTCTTTCCTTGAACTGTATACCCAAACTCAACAGCATATAAGCTGATTGAAGAAGTGAAAATCAATACAAGCCAAAATTCTAAAAGCAAAACAAAGTGTTAAATTGATTTACCCATAATTAAGGTCCTTGTCACAATTAGATTAGCTCACAGTTATACCGGAGGACAACTTTGAACCGATTATTTAGCTGTCGTTTGAATTTCGTGATAGTTTGGTTGAAATTGTTCATGATGCATCTTTTTTTTTAATTTTGTACACAAATATAATTGTTTGATATGACATAACTATGACTCAAAATAAATGATAGTTAAATTTTTTTTATATGAGACTGTATGTTTGGATTTTTTTCAACTATATCCCTAACTTTTTATATTAAAAACAAAAGATAAAACTGAATTTCACCTAAAAATTATAACTTATTAAAATATTACGATAACTATAACAAAAATCAAATTATGTAAAACAAAATACACCAATTTTCTTACTTAATGTATAATATTATACATTTATTGATCACAATGAATCGATTTAACTATCACCATAATCAAATAATCCTAATAACTTCATATTAATGTTGTATTTTAAAGTTTCCATGTTATTAATCTAGTATTTTTCTCGTGGTCGTATGGGGCAAGCCATATGGTCTTCTTTCTTATTCTTTCATATTTCCTAAATAAATTTGGAATTTTTTTTTTTGGGCTCTTTTTATTATCATTGGCAAAAGGGAAGCCATATGGTCTGCTCAGTGCTGTCTAGCTGTGGATGCATGTCTTCAGTTGGGTAATGTGCAGAGAAATAATATATAGTTTACGTTGTTTACCTTCGAGGTCTAGATTTGGATCCATTTGGGGAAATCCCCCATCTCGGTTTAACTAATTTTAACCCATGGGGCCAAAAGAAAAACTTATTAAACAAAGGGTAATCGCCGGGAATATGGAAATTGATGTTTTTGTAGGCTTCTGAACTAGGATCAATCATAGAATTCTGATCAGTAAAAATTGAATTGCTCATCGGTAATTTGTAACTTTTCCTGTTGGCAGTTGGCTAGCCTATCGTTTTCCATTAACAAAGTCAATCAATATAAAATCAGTGTTTAGTTGATGAGTGTCGAACTCCAAATGAAGGAATATGTAGTTAGATCGAATATCAATGCATGTCTCGTCATATACCAAATGAATAATAGGTGTAAGGTATTAGCTAATATGAAGTGGAGTATTCATAAATAAAACAAACCCTAGAAAAATAGTCTTAATAGTGTTTGTGTAGTATAATTGTGAGTGACAACCATGATAGTTATGATAACGAATGTGTTTAGTTTTTTCAAAATATGTGAATACGTAGGTCATGATAGAAAGAAACCAACGAAGATTATTTTATAAAAAAGTGTCAATCAGACATTTTCATGTAAAAATCTGATTACGTCATTGGTGAACTAGAAACGTAAAATCGTAAGCTTTTAAGTTTTAAAGCGTAGATTTTGACTACATTTGTAAGGAAAAATCACGATTCTATGCAGAAGTGTTTTTGTGATCTAAAAAGGTAAAACCATAAGTTTTTAAATTTTAAAATGTGATTTTGACTGCATCCACATGTGTCATAACCAATGTAGTCAAAATCGCGTTTCTACGTAGAAACGTTTTGATGATCTAGAAGCGTAAAATCGTAAGTCTTTAAAGTTTTAAAGCGCGTTTTTACTACATTAGCTATAAAAACTGTGATTTTGCATAGAAGCGCTTTGGTGACCAAAAAACGTAAAAGCATAAGTTTTTAAACTTTAAAACGCGATTTTGATTGCATTTGTTATCACTACTCAACCAAATATGTATTGGCGAGCAAGAACTCCTAGTTTGATTCCTTAATTGTAACATAATAATATCTTTGCACGGTAAACTTCAAATTTTAAACACATATGCTAAACATCATAGGTTCGCAAATATGTCATTTGCAAATCACAAATAGTTAAAATTGTATGATTATTTTTCAGTGACACAAAATACATCTAATACATAGTTTTGTATGCACCTGAAATCCAACTTCCACACTACACCTCGCATTAATAATTGATAGGAAGGCTGCTTAAGCTAATAACATTTACATGTAACCTCACCAATGTGCTATTGTGCTCTATAGATCAAAACCCCAACCACAAACCCATAGAAAACAAAAAATTATAATAATTAATTTAAGCATCGAAAGACCCCCTCACCCGCATTAATAATTGCACTTTCCTAACTTAATTATCTCTTAATCATCCATCAATAAACAAAAGGATGTATAGATATTACAAAGTTTTTAGTTTAATCTAAAATTTCGTACTTAATCAGATATCTCCCTTTTCTTAATTAAGGACAAATTAGTAATTTCCCTCCACACAACTCGAATTTGTTCTTTGCGTGTACGGCTAGTCCTCCATTATAAATACATCTGCCCCAAACTCCCCTTCTTTCATCTCCATCTCTTCTTCCCCTACACCAAAAACAGAAACAGAAAAAAGAAGAAGAAGGAGAGGAAATTGTGGTTGTTGAAACTTGAAGAAGAAGAAGATAAGAATGGGGAACACATTAAGGTGCTGTTTGGCGTGCGTGATTCCCTGCGGCGCCCTGGACTTGATCCGGATCGTCCATCTAAACGGGTACGTGGAGGAAATAACCCGACCCGTAACCGCCGGCGAGATCCTCCAGGCCAACCCCAACCACGTCCTCAGCAAGCCTTCCTCCCAGGGAGTCGTCCGCCGGATCCTCATCCTCTCCCCGGACTCCGAGCTCAAGCGCGGCGGCATTTACTTCTTGATCCCCGAAACCTCCATGCCGGACAAGAAGCGCATCCGCCGCGCGAAAAAGTACCGTCAAAAGACCACCACCACCGACGGCGGTGATGATAATGACAAGAACAATCAAGAAGGCCATCACGTCTCCGTCAAGGACCACTGCGAGCGGTACCTAACGGAGGCAGTAATAACGGAAGAGAAGAAGCAGAAGCAGCAAGATTCGTCGTCGTCGTCACGGCGTCACAGACGGAGTGGGACCGGGAGATCCGGAGTATGGCGGCCTTATCTAGACAGCATCACGGAAGACTGACGGCGGAGGGGGCGCACTTGCTCTCTTCTTCTTTTTTTTTTTTCTTTCTCCACGGTGTCTCTCCGGTACCGGGATCTGAGCCGGCGACGAACGTAGGTGGTGGGGATTTGTTTTTTTTTTTTTTTTTTTTTTTTTTTTACCTCTCTCATTTTTTTACTGTTACTGTTACGGTGGTGGGGGAGGTTTTGAGATTGGCATTTGTGGATAGCTTCTTGTTTTGGTCTTGGTTTGGTTTTCTTGTTTCGATCTGCGAATAGTAAAAAGGCAGATCCGAGGATTGATTCTTCTTTTCATTTACAGCTCTGTTTGGTTAACGCTCGAGAAAATCAATCAATCATGCAAGGCAAGGCAGAGAGGAAATGAGTTCAACTGTAAATAAAATTCGTTGGATTATAAGTTGTTTCTTGCCAAAGTCTTACCAATTGTACATGTTGCATTCTTTGAATTTCTTACACATATTTATACCATAATTTGAAAGTTAAGTGGGCGACTCTCTCTCTTTTTCGAATGTGACTAACTCTGCAATCGACTTAAACAGTTAATTGAATCGAAATGATTGAGAGGATGTACTTACATAATTCAAGAATGGTTCAAAATTGGACGTTAGACTATGTGCTTAGACAGAATTTACTTGAAAGTTACCGAATAAATTAACTATCTTAGCTTAAAGAGTTTTTAACTTCAATAACTAATATTGAGGCAACAATCTAGCGATATTTTTTGAACCACGCGACATAAGAAAAAATATTACTAGTTTTTTTTTCTTTTTTTACATAATAGAAAGAACGATGACTAGTTACTAACTTGAAGAGAAATAGGTTAATTGTATAGGGTAATCAATTGTTGTGTTCAGTCATACCCGTTATGGTTTAGATCGTATCGTATTCTAGTTTTTGTAATTATGCAATGTAATGATAGTTTTGTAAACAATATGTTTTTGTTAGAATGGCAAACCACTTCAATGATTAATACTTAGATGTTAGGTAATCATTAATAACTCCACCATTTGTTTAACTACTTAGCTTGTCTAGCTAGCTAGCTTAGCTTATAATTGTGATCATGTGAATTTGTTTATATGTAGAGGGGGAGAGAGAGAATGGGAGACTTGTGCCGCTTATAGTGGTGATCACCAGCCTGTGATTACTTGAACTTGGTACCTAATTAAGAACTGGTTATTATATATATAAATGTAATGTGACTCCTAACTAAGATTTTAATATAGGGTTTATACCATCGGCCTGCAACTAAGTGCTGGATCAGCGGGAACAGAGTCTTCTTCTCTTAGGCATTAACTGTCAATTTAATGTTGAGTCAATATATCTAACAGAAAAGCTAGATTGGAATACCATAAGCATATACATGTAAGTACATCTGTAAATGCATCCAACAAATATTTGACAATATTAGTTTAAAAATAAAGTAAATATAAGTTATTAATCAATTTTTGAAATACAAAATATTAGCTAACCGTTAACTTTCAATTACCAGTTTTGTTAATGATGACGACTTTGAAACATGATGTTGAGACGAAAGAAACACATGACGATCAAATTCTTAAAATTTTAGCATTTAATTAAGAAAACAATTCAGAGTCAATAGTCAAAATTGATAAAATTTTGTAACATTTTACAGGTTAGACTAATACTTTCTATTTTAAGAGGTTCGACTAATATTTTGAAAAATTTGACTAATAAATTATATTTACTATAAAAAAAATATTATACGTTAACACAATCATTATAAAGTGACCTCAATCACATGTTCTTTCTTGTTTCTATTTTACCATACCAAATTTGAACTTCATTGAGTACTTTTATCAGTCAAAGCCATAATAACTCCCATTTTGAAAAATATGTGATAGAAATGATACTTTCAGTATAATACCACTAATCTAGAACATGGAGGTTCCAGGTTGGAATCCATTATAAAAAATTATATTTTCGGTCTAATACCATGTGTCGGTTAATAAAAGCTACGAACAAATTACCTTTATACTTTTGTCACGAGCCTCAATTCATGTTCATTTAGGGGGTGCATTTTTTTGTTTTTATTCGTTAAGAAACTTCGTTGCGAGCTGATCGCTACTAGTCATTGTCTCGGTAACAAGGCATAGGATTGTCTCGGTAACAAGGCATAGGACCACCTATCCATAGGGGATTCATCTTTTTTCCAGTGGATATATGCATTTTGTACTTCATTAAATTGTACTTCTTGTTAAGAGTCGAATCGACGTACACATATTGGGTACAATGTTAATTAATTAATTTGTATCGAACATAGCAAGTTGTGCTAAAATCCATGCCCTCTTGCAGAAAACGAGGTAATTAATTTACTTATTTGTCAGTGTTTTTTCCTAACTTCCACTGCACTTTGTGATCATGTTCCGTATCCATTGCTAATCGCAAAATCAAGTGTTTATTTACTAACTATTTGATTAATAATGTGAACTTAATTGTTTTGGGATTAGCAAGGTGAACCTTTTTGCAATGTTTTGAGAGTTCAAGACAATAAAAAAAAAAAAAAAAGTAGAGCTAGCGGTTTGACCATGAAGATAGGAGAAGAAACGAAACTCCACCATCTTGAAGCATCACCTTCCTCGAAGTAATGCTTCTATGATCTGGACTCTTGCTCTGTTGCTTCTAAGAAAACTTGTTGTTAAGTAGAAGATTAGGCATTCTGTTGTTTAGATACATAGAACGAAATATACCGTCACTGCAGAATCTCAAAGGAACACCATACTGGAATCTCAGAGATTGAGCCACATTTGATCCTTACTCTCTAACCTTACCATTATGCTATGGTAAAATAAAAGAAAAATTCCCAAAATTCCCATATTATTATAGAATATTTCCAGAATACATAAGTTATAAAAAAAAAAATTCACAATTTACACAGGTTTGACATTCACCATCGTTGTCTAACGCAGTGAAGAACATCACCGCCATTGTTTAAAGCGGGAAGTAATCATTACTTTTATTAAAAGCGAGAAGAAATCACTGCATTACATTTGATTAAAGCGTGGAAGTAGTGATCGCTGACGTGTAACGCGGTGAGGCGTCGGATATGGCAAGTAAACCATAATCTGCGCCTCACAGCATCTGACAGCTACGGTGAAGGGTCGGGGACGCGGATCGCTGACTTGGAAAAACGCGAGGCATTCCCCGCGTTTATTTTTCCATGTTAGTGATCCGCGTCCCCGCCCTTCACCGCTGTCGTTAGATGCAGTGAAGCGCGGATTCTGGTTTTCCTCCCAGATCCGACGCCTCGGAACGTTCCACGTCATCGATCCAATCCCTTCATCGCGTTTCAAAAAGGTGGGCTCTTCCCTGCCTCTGACCAACGCTAGGAATTCTCAGTCTTCCCCCTATTGACGGATGCAAAATCAGAATAATACGATGCAGAAACATATTGAAACACGGACACCGGAGTTTACGTGGTATCCCTGGATGTGATCCAGGACTAATCCACGGAAGAGCTTGAATTCTCTTCAGCTACTGATTTTACTGTGTTGAGATTATGATCATCAACATTACAGGCGGCCAAACTTCTTCTCCAACCCTTTATACAACACCCTAGGGTTGTGCATGGACTAGCATGGGTCTACGTATGGGCTGCAAAATAAAATGGGCCTCATTCACCTATAACACAATTAAACCGTAGCCCATATAACTCTTAATACGCTAACATCCTCCCCCAAATTGATGCCGATCTTTCAGCATCAATTTGCTCCCCAAATACCAGTGACGACAAGTAGAAAAGGACTTTCTGAACAGATCAGTAACTTGTTCTTCTGTCGGAATATGATGTAAGCTGACAGTGCCATCACGAACAAGATCCCGAACGTAGTGCACATGAATCTCTATGTGCTTAGTCCGATCATGAAGAACTGGATTCTCTGCAATGCGAATAGCATTGGTGTTGTCTAAATGCAATGCCATAGGCGCAGGACAAGTGATCCTGAAATCAGAGAGGAGACGTCTCAACCACACCATTTCAGATCCAACTTCGGACATAGCACGATATTCAGCTTCAGTTGATGATTTGGAGACCTTATCCTGCTTCTTACACCGCCATGATATGTAAGCTCCACCAAGTTGAACACACCACCCCGATGTGGAACGACGTGTATCGACGCAGCTAGCATAGTCAGAATCCGAGTATGCAATAATTGTAGGAGAACCTGTAGAGGGAAATAGAATCCCCACATCTTGTGTTCCATGAAGATACCGTAAGATCCGATGAGCAGCAGCAAGATGATCAACACACGGAGCAGTCATGAATTGACTAACCACTTGTACAGCATAGGAGATTTTCGGACGAGTGGCAGATAGATAGATCAGACTTCCCACGATACTACGATATTGAGATCCATCCTTCAGAGGTTCACCAGAGTTTTGGTGCAGTCTCAAATTCACTTCCATGGGCGTCTTCACAGGTTTGCTATTATCAAAGTTGTGATCACTGAGCAGATCAGAAATATATTTACGCTGACTTAGAAGAATACCTTGATCATTACGACTGAATTCCAGCCCCAGGAAGTATGATAGATTGCCCAGATCCTTAATACTGAAAGCCTCTTTCAACCCAGCTTTAAGACGAGAAATTCCTTCCGGATCAGTTCCTGTAATCACCATGTCGTCAACATACAGGAGAAGAATAACTATGCCTGCCGAGGTACTCTTAGTAAAAAGTGAGGGATCGTTGAGACTTTGCTGAAAGCCCAGTTGAACAATCGTAGCCTGAAATTTCTCGAACCAAGCCCGAGGTGCCTGTTTGAGTCCGTAGAGTGACCGATGTAATAAACAGACTTGATCCTCACGGCCAACAGTATAACCAGGAGGCATTTCCATATAGATCACTTCCTCCAAATCACCATGGAGGAAGGCATTCTTCACATCCAATTGATAAAGAGGCCAGTTGAACAGAGCAGCCACAGCGAGCAGAGTTCGGACAGTTGACATTTTTGCAACAGGCGCAAATGTCTCGTTATAATCCACTCCATGTTCTTGAGTATAGCCGAGAGCAACTAAACGAGCTTTGTTGCGTTCAATGGAGCCGTCTGGAAGAACCTTGATGGCATAGACCCAAAGACACCCGATGGTAGGAGGACACGGAACTGGTCGATCAACAACTGTCCAGGTTCGATTGGCTTCCAATGCCCCGAACTCCTCTTGCATGGCGCAATCCCATATTGGATTCCCATGAGCCTGTTTAAAAGTGGTTGGGACAATGAGAGTGTCCACTCCATAAGCAAAATAATCATCGAACCTAGGAGGTGGAACTCCCTTGTTTACTCGTAGTGACCGTCGAGGCTGCTGTTGTTCTTCTGGTGATGGCGGATCCAAAATGGACATTGGTGGGCTGCTGCTAGTAGAAGTTGAGGAAGAAGAGGTG